TTGGGCGGCTCTGAAACCTCTCTAGAGTTGACCAAATACGCGGTGGCTGAAGTGATCGACGTGTTCGGTCGTTTGTTGTTGGCACGCGGGCGTGTGAGGATCGGACACTGCATGGCTGCATCAGGTCGTGGCATGGCACGTCCAATCACAACTTAAGTGATCGCGCGGGAGTTTTTGACCATTGGAGATCGACGTTCGTGGTTAAACCGCAGGGACACATGTGTAGGGTCGAGATGGCGGACTAGAGGGGGGTGAATAGTCCTTTCTAAATTTAATCGCGCTAGCTAACCGAAACAAATGTGGAATTAAAACAATCGGTCTAGCCAAGACTACACCCCTCTATCGAAGTTCACAAGCACCTTATAAAGATCCTAATTAGGCAACAAAGGTGTCAGGCTAGTTAGAGCTCACCTATCTAATTCTAAGAGTAAGGTCACACAAACTTATGTCACTAGTATTTTAAGCAATGAGGGAGCTCCTATACATGCTAGTAAGCAAAAGCACAAAGCCACCTAAGCTCACTAGCAATGCTCAATAATAAGGCAACCAATACCAAATTAGAGAGCGGAAATACTTAGCTACACAAACTAAGCAATGTGACTAACAAGGTTACACAAATCAAATTAGCTATGCAAGAGAGCTACTTCTATGCTACACAAGCAAGAAGGTAACTAGTAAGCTACACAAGCTAACTAATTACAAGAGCAACTATACAAGTACAATGTATATGAAAGTAATTACAAGATTGTGTAAGGGGATTGCAAACCAATAGGAAGAACAATGTTGACACGGTGATTTTCTCTCGAGGTTCATGTGCTTGCCAACACGCTACGTCCCTATTGTGTCGACCGTTCACTTGGTGGTTCGGCGGCTAATTTTCATCACCCACCAAGCTTGCACGTCGAGCACCGCAAGAACCTGCCCCAAAAGTGAGGGTAGCTCAATGACACGCTCAACTAGAGTTGCTCTTTGCGGCTCCCACGGGGCAAGCACAATGCCCCTCACAAAGCTCTTCTCCGGAGCACCGCACAAGCTTCTTGCGGGCTTCGATGGAGACCGCCACCAAGCCATCTAGGAGGTGGCAACCTCCAAGAGTAACAGGCACCACCGGCTTGCAACTCGATCACCTAGTGCCACTAGATGCAACCTCACGATGCAATCGCACTAGAATCGCTCTCACACACAATTGGATGATCACTATCAAGCATATGTGAGATAGAGGGCTCCCAAGCACTACCACATAAGCCACCAAGGCTCTAGTGTGCTCAACTCTCTAAAGCTATTGGCCAAAGGTTGATCAACACTTCTATTTATAGCCCCACGGGCTAAAATAGCCGTTACCCCTTTACTGGGTGTTTTTTGGGATGACCGGACGCGCCGGTCAGATCAACCGGACGCACTCTACCAGCATCCGGTCAATGAATAGCTACCACGTCATCCTTGGCTTTAAATGTTGAGCGCCCGATCTCAACGGTTAGGTTGCGACCGAACGCACCGCGAGGATGACCGGACGCTGCAACGCCTGAGTCCGATCATTTCCAGAGAGCTCCCCAAGCCTCTGTTTTGCGACCGGACGCGTCCGCTCCTGCATGACCGGACGCAGACCAGCCAGAGTCCGGTCATTTCCAGAGAGCTCCTTGAGCCTCTGTATTACGACCGAACGCGTCCGGTGCTGCACGACTGGACGTAGGCCAGCGTCCGATCAGCTATGTGCCCGCGCGCCAACTCCAGCGTCGCCTATGTCACCATACGTCACATGCGACCGGACATAGGCCCTGCACATCCGATCAATTTTACTGTGCAGCGTCCGGTCACTTGACGGAGACCGCACCCAACTACTGTCAGTGACTGGACACGCCGGTCCTGTCGAGGCCAGCGTTCGATCACTCACAGTGACCTCCTTTCACCTACATTTCTTCATCGAGTTGATCCGTTTCAACTCCAACTCCTTCTCCTTTGCAAATGTGCCAACACCACCAAGTGTACACCACCATGTGTATGTGTGTTAGCTTTTCACAAACTTTTTCCAAAGGATTAGCCACTCAACTAGCCACGCCACTCGATCCTAGCGACGATGCAAAGTTAGATCACTTGAGTGGCACTAGATGACCGATATGCAAACAAGTTTGTCCCTCTTGATAGTACGGCCATCTATCCTAAACCCGGTTATCAACTTCTCTACACACCTATGATCGGTGAAATGAAATACCCTAAGTTATACCTTTGCCTTGTGCATTCCATTCCATCTCTTCTAATGTTGATGCAACACATGCACCAACCAATCACCAAACGATATGATCCACTTCATATCATCACGTGACCGTATTGATTCATCGATCTTGACTTCACTTACTTTTTACTATTGCCTTCATCCATCGGTGCCAAGTCTTGCTCAAACTTCACCGCCACGTGGTCTATCACTTTAAAGCCTCAAACTTGCCCTTCACGTTTGCAACCGGTCCATCAAGCCAAGTCATGTCTTGATCTTCTCCACCTTGATCATATGACTCCATGTCATGTCTCATGTGCAATAAGCTCCTTCATCATCATCATGTGTGAGCTTTGCAACATCTTTGAGCCATCATCACCGTCATGGCATATGTTGCTCACACACATGTACCTGTTGACTAATTATCTATGTATCTCACTTAAACACATTAGTCCACCTAAGATTGTCACTCAATTACCAAAACCAAACAAGGACCTTTCAACGTGGCAGCGGATCAGCGACCAGACGCTAAAGGTGGTGCGTCCGGTCACATCGACCGCGCGTGTTCGGCCGCCTCGTGATCTGTGCAGTGAGGAGCCCAATGACTCTATTCGTGGGGGCTCTCTATTTAAGCTCCATGACCGGCTCAAGCTAACTCTCTTGGTCATTTGTATTAACATAGCAACCTTATGAGCTTAGCCAAAGCCCTCCCACCCATCTCCATCATTGATTCATTATCTTTGTGAGATTGTGAGTGAATCTAAGTGCATTGCTTGAGTGATTGCATCTAGAGGCACTTGATGTTCGTGTTTTCACTGCAGAATTCACTTGTTACTCTTGGTGGTTGCCACCACCTAAACGGCTTGGAGCCGCGAGGATCCTCGAGCGGAGGTTGGTGATTGCCTCCAGCTTCGATCATGGTGATTGTGAGGGATTCTTGATATTTTCCCGGCCAAGAGCCAAAATATACTCTAGTGGATTGCTCGTGGCTTGTGTGATCCTTATCTTGTGTTGGTTGTGCGGCACCCGATTGCGGGTTTGGCGTGTGATGCCAATTAGCGCGTGAACCTCCAAATGAGTGAATCGTCACAATGAGGACTAATTTGTCGGCAAGTAAGTGAACCTCGGTAAAAAATCTTATGTTATCTTGTCCGAGGGTTTTATTGGTTATCTTGTGATTGATTGGTTTCATCTTGTGATTGGCTCATGCCTCGACACGTCGGTATATTCATCACATTTCTCTCTTGTATTTATATTTCTAGTGTTGCTTCGCTCTTTAGTGTAGTTAATCTTGAGAGCAAACTTGTGTCGGGTCTAGTGGTTAGTGAGGCTCTTTAGTTAGTCTTTGAGAGCTCACTAACTTAGTGTACTGACATAGTCATTATGTGGATAGAGACTATAGATACTAGAATTGTGGTAGGTGGCTTGTATCTTTAGTAGGCTAGCACAACATTCGTTTCGTCTCATATTTATCTAACCGTTTTGTTAAGTGTTGTTGTAAATTTTTTTATATGCTATTCATTCCCCTCTAGCCAGTAGGACCTTTCATCATGTTAGAAAATAAAGTGAGGACACACATGTTTTTTATGTTCTCTCTTATCTATGCTAAAATCTCAAAATATAATGTATTATAGATAGAGAGAGTAGCCTTTTAAGTCATGACTTATAATAATACCCTTTGTTCTGGAACACAAGATATCATCCTAGAAATTTTGGGCTATATTATATGATAAATTGAATACATATATAATCTTTTACCTATTTATTATATTTGGGTTAGTAGTAGAAATTAATGATAGTTATACATGTGAATATTGATTTTTTAAAACTGAGTTAGAGGATTATTTCACCTAAAAGTTGATATCTTGTATTTAAGGACGGATGGAGTATCAGCCTATTTGTTTGGCTGTGGCTTGTCGTAAACGATCGTAAATTTTCAGCCGGAACAGTATTTTTCTCTCACACAAACCAGCCAGCAGTACATCTTCACGAACCAGCAACGATACGAATCAGCCAACCGAACAGCCTGATATGGCTAGGCACTGTCTTTTTCAGTTTGGATATTGTAGATTGCAACCCAGATCTATAATCTAGAACTTGTTGGTTCAAGCCTTTAGATTGTAATAACAAGCTAAAGCTTCCTTTGGCATGGCTCATCCAAAACGGTTTTACCAGTGAAGCCAAAGCCGATGAAGCCAGAAAAACTGGCTTTTCATGGCTTTTAGTTCGTTTTAACTTCGGCTTATAAAACGGCTTCACGCTACAGTGCCTCGATTTGTGCAAAATAGATGAAGCCGAAGTCGGCATAAACCATGCCAAAGAGGCCTAAAACAACCAGGATATGGGTTGGGTAGCTCTAATCTTATCTTTGATCGAGACTTTACGCTATTGTTTGCTCCTCGTGTTCCTTGCAAGGATTTTGAGAAGTTTATTATTCGTGGCTCGATGATTGGAAACTGCTGACGGGAGTGGGATCCCATGACAGTGATTAGCGTGTTGGTGACCATATACTAGTACTCTACTAGCACCTAGTCAGTGTCAGCACGACCGCTCTTTTTCTGCCTTTTTCTGCCCTTTCCAGATCATTTCAATTCAAACCCAACCGGATCAGATCGTTTCTCCCCACCCCGACGGCCCCACCCCACCTCACCCCACCCCTTCTCTCTCTTCCTCCAATGACCCACCTGTCAGCCCAGCCGGAGAACGCCGCCCACGTCCCCGGCGTGCCGCCGCCGTGATAATTCTTCCTCCTCCACCACCGCTGCACCTCCGCGCCGGCGCCTTGCCACCGATGGACCCCGCGCCCGATCCACTCTCTATCTCCGCCTCCGCCCCGTTCCCCACCATCCCGGCTGCCTCAGGCCCCAGGCCCCGCGCCGCGAGGACGACGCGGCGCCACGCCGCGCCCTTCCGGTCGGACCACCCCGCCGCCTCCGCGAGCCGGCGCTCCGGGATCGATCTCCCGCGCCGTCCTGCAGCCCCCGCCTTCTCCCAGCAGGAGGGTTCTCTTTCCGTGGGCTCCTGGGGCGCCTCTCGCGACGCCACCTTTGTGTTCGGGAGTGGCGTGGTGGCCGGGGCGCCGGAGATGAGGAGGAGCTTCTCGTCCGGATCCGGTGAGGCATCGTTGGCTGAACTTTCGGACGCAGTTCACAGGCTCTCGTTGGATGGTTATGGCAGGCGAAGCGACATTGATGCTCCCGGAGGAGATGATACGCTTCCAGTGACGGACTCCGGTGATCGCTTTCGGGCCCGTGGATGCATCTCCACTTTGTATGAGGGTTTCTGTCTGGATTCTATTCAGCATCAGACTGAGCAGCTAGATGAAGGACGTGGAGTCCCGTCTCAAACCATGCAATGCGAGAGTGTGGGGATGCGATCATTAGCTTCACCAACCTGCACTGATGAGAATGCTCCCATTGAATTTGCAAGGAGCGAGGGCAGCTTGCCCATTCGAGATTCTGTGGAAGAAAGTAGAAATTCTGGACATTGTGGTAATGCCCACCATGATTTCTTTGTTTTTGGTGGACATGCTGGGTACCGTAGCTTGGCTACCAATGCAACTGAAACTAATATCGGTGAGGTACATTCAGCTGACAAAGAAAGTGTAACATGCAACTCTGAACAGCTAAATCCTTCAGTTGCTAAAGATAGAACTTTCACCAAGTTCATTTTGCAGGATGCAAAGCATGTGTTTGGTTCAAGTGATAACGATCTTCCACGCTCGGAACCTTGTGAAATTTCTACCATGGTGGAAACATCGGATACTGTAACCTCTAGCTTTGGATCTGAAGACGGGATCGTGAAGGTTTCTTCCATAAAGGTGCCTTGGGATATTGAAGCAGTAGCAGCCTCAGAACTTGTTGAATGTCGGCCATCATTTGATGAGAAATCTTTCACTTTTGACGACCACAATGTAGCATCTAGGAACAAAGGAGGGGTTAAGGGTATGAGCATGAAGAGCAGAACTTTTATGCCAAAGAAGTCCTCAGCCAACCAGGCTTCTTCCTTGGAATCAGTCTCAAGAAGTGGCCATTGTTCCGGAGAAGTGTCTCCTGAAGAAAAGTTAAATTTGAAAGAAGCCAGTAGCTTGGTATCAGAGGACTCTGGAATCAACTGTGCCCAAGCTGATTCTATCAACAATTTGCGAACAACAGAAAGTGGGCATGCTGAAACAGAGTTTACCTCTGCAGCAAACACAGAGCATTCTGGTAAATCTGATTTCATATTTTCTGCATCAACTTTCAACCAAAGCATGTTGCACTCACAAAGACGACATACCAAGAAAAAAAGTGGAGGAATGGGTAATCATGCTAGCTCTATTCAAAGCCTCCCTTCATCCGCCGTTGGACTTGCATGTTCAGAAGTCTCAGGAAGTCAGCAATGTGTGGATTTAGCTGCCCAGTGGACTGAATTCAGCAAAATAGAACCTAACAGGGTTACAATCAGCAGAGGAGCCGAATGCTCAACATCAAAAAACTTTGGAGACCATGACAATTGTGAAACATGGCGATTAAGGTACCTGCATGACCTACTCTTGTGTCACCCTTCAGCTTATTTAGCTAGGATGCACTTCCACAAGGGTTGAACCACTCAAATCATGCAAGTAGTGGCAGAACACCTTGCAAAGCCATTTAGAAGTTTGGTTATATAGACAGTTCAGCAATTGGTTTGTCGGTTATATATATATTTTTTGTTTATCTCTACTTCAAAAATATTGATTACATGATGTTTTGCTGGATTGCTGATCAAAAAGTAGATTTCCATGCATGGAAGATTGCTAGTAATATTTATGACTAATAAATAATAAAAAAGAGAAACATATTTTGAGTCTCATAAGGAGATTGAGTGGCTTTACTGTTTGCGCTTCATTCACAAGGTACTGTAGTCACTGTAGTTCACGCATTGCTACTGTTTCCCTGTCTGGTTGGGATTGCTCGGGCTGTATGTTCTTTGTGATATTCAATGTTTTAAAGCTGAACTGTGTATTTTGTTGTAGGGGAAACCAAGCATATGCAGAAGGACAGTTAACTAAGGCTGAAGAATGCTATACCCATGGGATTGATTCTTTTTCCCCGAATGAAGTTTCAAGAAAAGCATTAATGCTGTGCTACAGCAATCGAGCAGCTACTCGGATGTCTCTGGGTAAGATGAGAGAGGCCCTATCTGATTGTCGAGCAGCTATTGATATTGATTCCAGCTTTCTCAAAGCACAAGCCAGAGCCGCCAAGTAAGACCAGTGTGCTAACTTCAACACTAAACTATTGGAGTTTGTATTATAATTCATGTTAAATCTATTCAGACAAATTTGCAGTACTGATATTTTGTCTTATTGGAAATCCAAGGAAACATTCTACTATTTTGACAAGTTTTCTTGGGATTAGATTTTTTAACTCAACCTAACTGATATAGAGTGTTGCATCCAGATCTCAAAGTAAATAAATATTTCATGCAATTGAGTTTAAGATCCGATAGTACCTTAACATGTCCAACTCCTGCTCATAATTTGTGTTTTCATGTCACTGACTTTGGGAATGGTGTTACTGGCCTTGCTATTTTGATATCCATAATCTAAAGAACAATTACCATGAACTATTTATGAAGGCAGAAGTGATTTATAAAATTATCTTAATGTAAGATCCATTTACTAATGTTTAATGATATGTGTAGCACCCTTACTATTACATTCTAAATTATTAATATATTAACTTTTTGTATGCTTATCTAATGAGTCTAGCTGCCTACTTGCCCTGGGGGATGTTGAAGAAGCACGAAAGGCTTTTGAGATGTGTTTGAAGTCTAATCATCTATCAAGCTTGGACCATAAAATTGTAGATGAGGCTTCTGATGGTCTACAAAAAGCTAAGGTAGCATACAGACTAAATTTCTGCTACCGTGCCAGATTTTTCAGGTTAAATGTAACCCAAATTAACTATTACCTCCGTTCGAAATTATCGGTTGTTTTGGCTTTTGGATACATAGCTTTACTATGTATCTAGAAACAACGTATATCTAGGTGCATAGCAAAATCTCTATACCTAGAAAAGCCAAAATGACCTATAATTTGGGACGGAGGGAGTACCTTTTGAACAGTTATTTCCATTGCGTACATGATAACTACCCAACAACATTGTCAGCAAACCGTTGGCAACATTTTGCTAACATACCATCAGCTGTTATAATGATAAGTGTGATCCTGCACATCATAAAAAAAAAACTTCGGCCGATGGGGGTAAAGCCGCGCCCACGACATTAGCATTAGAAGAAATTCTCTTCCTGGCCCGGTTGAGAAAACCCCCCGAAGGCCGGCTGCTCGGACACGCCACAGGGTGCCCAGGACACGTGGGCCACGTGCATATCTCTGAAGACACCACAGTGGTTACGTGTATAACTCGAAACAGCCGACGAGGGTTTTTTTTACCCCCAGCCTGAAATTCGCTCCCACGGGGAGTTGAACTCAGGACCTGGGGGGGTGCCGCTGGAAAGCTGTAACCACCTGGCGATCCTGCACATCATTGACACATTCAGTGTTATATTTGTCAAACTTTGATTTTCGAGAAGTATGAAAGAAAATTTATTTATGAGGAATGTACATATACAAGGTCGACTGTATTGGGTAATGCTTGTCTGGATTCTGCACCCAACTTTACTGTTCTTAGAAAACATGTTAGCAAAATAATTTGCTATATGGAACTTGATAACCCAAACATCATATTCCCATATTTTTTTGGCAGAAAATATCTGGTTTAATTATTGAATGCAAGGAGTATCTTATAAAGAAGGCATTTGACAAGATACCCAGTGCCTTACAAATGATCTCTGATGCTTTGTCCATAAGTATTTATTCAGATGAGTTCATGGCGATGAAAGCAGAAGCACTGTTACTGGTCTGTATTTACGGTAAACTTATTTTACCTTGTGCACATCATTACTTTCATTGTTCCTCTGGTATTTTTTGGCCTAACTGTTAGTTTTGTTGGACTTTAACAGTTGCAGCGATATGAAGAAGTAATTCGGTTTTGCGAAGAAACTCTTTATGTAGCAGAAAGGAATAGTGTGTGTTTGTGTCTTGACAAGCATTCAGAAAGCAATAACTTGGACAACAATACTTGCTCTGTGAAGTTGTGGCGTTATCATCTTATTGCTAAGTCATATTTCTTCCTTGGAAAGCTTGAAGAGGCTAACCAGTTCTTAAAGAAGAATGATCAAATAAAAGTCATGGGATGCAGGTAATATTTTGTTACCAATGCAATACTAGTTTGGATTGTTTCCAATTTCCATATATATGATTTGCTAATTTTGAGAGAACACTAACTAGGTGTGGGAAGCAATCTCAGGACTCAATTTTATCACTCCCCATGGTTATCTCTGAACTACTGCGGCTTAAAGTACGTCATATGTTGGCCTTGGGCTACTAATCTATCTATCCATGCATAGCATTCTCTTTGCTCTGTGATGTTGTTATATATCATGTGCGTACATGATGTCCTTGGTATTCAGCAAAGTTTGCAAGAATTTTACACTAATGGCATCAAATTCTTGTTTGCTGCATTTCAGGCTGCTGGCAATGAAGCATTCCAATCTGGTAAATATTTGGAGGCTGTGGAACATTATACTGCTGCTTTGATGAGCAATAGCGAGTCACTACGCTTTTTAGCAGTCTGCTTTTGTAACCGTGCAGCAGCATATCAAGCAATGGGTCAAATTTTAGATGCAATTGCAGATTGCTCACTGGCTATAGCCCTTGATCCAGATTATGCTAAGGTTGGTGTATTATCCTCCTGTTGTATCAAATAAAAATGCTCGTATGGCTATGCTCTCCAACTCTTTCTAGACAAAACCACCCGTTTTCATCGTTCGAGAAAAAAAACCCCACCTGTTTGATATTGTGCTATGATGCCCATTTGTTTTATCATGTGCTTGAGCTGGCCTTGCTTTCCATTTTGTTACTCATACTACAACAACAGCAACAACAAAGCCTTTAAGTCCTAAACAAGTTGGGGTAGGCTAGAGTTGAAACCCAACAGAAGCAATCAAGGTTCAGGCCACGTGAATAGCTGTTTTCCAAGCACTCCTATCTAAGGCTATCTTTTGGTATATTCCATCCTTTCAAGTCTCCTTTTATTGCCTCTATCCAAGTCAACTTCGGTCTTCTTCTGCCTCTCTTCACGTTACTATCCTGGCTTAGGATTCCACTACGCACCGGTGCCTCTGGAGGTCTTCGTTGGACATGTCCGAACCATCTCAACCAGCTGTTGGACAAGCTTTTCTTCAATTGGTGCTACCCCTAATCTATCACGTATATTATCGTTCCGAACTCAATCCCTTCTTGTATAACCGCAAATCCAACGCAGCATACGCATTTCCGCGACACTTATCTGTTGAACATGTCGTCTTTTCGTAGGCAAACATTCTGCACCATACAACATAGCAGGTCTAATTGTCGTCCTATAAAACTTGTCTTTTAGCTTCTGTGGTACCCTTTTGTCACATAGGACACCAGATGATTGGCGCCACTTCATCCACTCTACTTTGATTCTATGGCTAACATCTTCATCAATATCCCCGTCTCTTTGTAGCATTGATCCTAAATATCGAAAGGTATCCTTCCTAGCCACTATTTGATCTTCCAAACTAATATCTTCCTCCTCCCGAGTAATAGTGCCGAAGTCACATCTCATATACTCAGTTTTAGTTCTACTGAGTCTGAAACCTTTGGACTCCAAAGTCTCCCACCATAACTCAAGTTTCTGATTCACTCCTGTCCGGCTTTCATCAACTAGCACTACATCGTCCGCGAAAAGCATATACCAAGAGATGTCCCCTTGTATGGCCCTTGTGACCTCATCCATCACTAAGGCAAACAGATAAGGGCTTAAAGCTGATCCTTGATGTAGTCTTATCCTAATCGGGAAGTTATCCGTGTCTCCATCACTTATTCGAACACTAGTCACAACATTGTTGTACATGTCCTTAATGAGCCCGACGTACTTTGTTGGGACTTTATGTTTGTCCAAAGCCCACCACATAACATTCCTTTATATTTTATCATAAGCCTTCTCCAAGTCAATAAAAACCATGTGTAGGTCTTTTTCTTCTCCCTGTACCGCTCCATAACTTGTCTTATTAAGAAAATGGCTTCCATGGTTGACCTTCCGGGCATGAAACCAAATTGGTTCATAGAGACCCGCGTTATTGCTCTCGAGCGATGCTCGATAACTCTCTCTCATAGCTTTATAGTATGGCTCATCAACTTAATTTTCCGGTAATTAGTACAACTTTGAATATCCCCTTTATTCTTATAGATCGGTACCAATATACTTCTTCACTCGTCAGGCATCTTGTTCGATCGAAAAATATGGTTGAACAGCTTGGTTAGCCATACTATAGCTATGTCTCCGAGGCATCTCTACACCTCGATTGGGATACCATCCGGTCCCATTGCCTTACCTCCTTTCATCCTTTTCAACGCCTCTCTGACTTCAGATTCTTGGATTCTCCGCACAAAGCGTCTATTGGTGTCATCAAAAGAGTCATCGAACTGAAAGGTTGTGTCTGTATTCTCACCATTGAACAATTTGTCAAAATACTCTTGCTATCGATGTCGGATCTCATACTCCTTCATCAAGAGATGCTCCCTTTCATCCTTAATGCACTTAACTTGGTTGAAGTCTCTTGTCTTTCTCTCACGAACCCTAGCCATCCTATAAATGTCCTTCTCTCCTTCCTTCGTACTCAAATGTTGGTAAAGATCCTCGTACGCTCTACCATTTGCCACACTTATAGCTCGTTTTGCAGTCTTCTTTGCCACCTTGTACTTCTCTATGTTATCCACACTCCTGTCATGGTACAAGCGTCTATAGCATTCTTTCTTCTCCTTAATAGCCCTTTGGACTTCCTCGTTTCACCACCAAGTATCTTTAGTCTCGCCTCCACTTCCTTTGGTTACTCCACACACATCTGAGGCCACCTTCCGAATGTTGGTTGCCATCTTCTCCCACATGTTGTTTATGTCCTCTTCTTCCTTCCAATAGCCCTCTTTGATAACCCTTTCCCTGAATACTTCTGACGTCTTCCCTTTTAGTTTTCACCACTTTGTTCTTTCAATCTTAGCTTGTTTATCCCTACGGGCACGCCCCTGAAAACGGAAGTCTGCCACCAAAAGCTTATGTTGAGAAACAATACACTTCCCTGGTATCACTTTGCAACCCAAGCATGCTCGTTTGTCCTTTCTTCTTGCGAGGACAAAGTCAATCTGGCTATAGTGTTGTCCGTTACTGAAGGTCACTAGATGAGATTCTCTCTTTCCGTTTTGTTACTCATATATTGAAATTTTTCCTATATTTCCTTGCTTGTTCCGATGCATGAGAAATGAAGCCCTTTGAACTTTTGGTTGCTATTTTCAGCTTAATTTTACTCCAAACGAAGTAGATAATGATATATAGATAATGGTTATGACTTGTGGCTTTCTATCTCATCCATAGGCATGCTCCAAATAGATTTTGTGCTCAATTCCACAGTGTAGTTTCAAAAACTTGGCCAGTGAGGGAAAGACCACCTCCACAGTATTTTACTAAGAAAAGCTCAACCGGAGCCCGGCACATGGGGATGCCGCCCCCTATGGTTCGGGCCTTAACCCATGCTCTGAGGCCCAACCCACTACCAGCCCCTTACACGAGGGCCCGCCCACCATACGTCGGTTCACCCATGCCAACCAGGGGAATTAGTGAGTCACCTTTTTTACCCAGCCTGAAATTTGCTCCCATGGGGATTTTTTGCAGTGCAGTTTCATATTTATTCTTCTTTTTAATTAGTGGGTTGCCATGAGTTACTGGCGATTCTTCTTGAATAATCAATGGTAACAAGCAACAGCCATGCCTATGTAATGAAATGATACTACTTTTCCATCTTTTGGATTTACATTTACGCTTTATGGTTGGGGGGACTCTTTTAGTCCTTTTAATCATTTGAACTGCAGATCATTACTGTGTGGACGTCATCTTTCTTCATGTAAATTTGGTGATTGGCTAAACTAATGTTTGCTATGAACCTTAGAGCATTGACTTAATATTTTTCAATATGCACAGTAATATCATTTCTGAAATTAATTAGCTAAGGACCATGGAAAATGTGTACAGATCGGATAATGTCATCCAATGTGACGTTTGACACATGGTTCCTCCAACCACATGGTAGTAAATATTAGATGGTATTTTCAGTGTGATTCCCTAGAACGGCGTGACAGTAAAACATTAATCCATGAATTCAAGATCTTCCTGTAAAAATGTAACCTATTGTGCTTGCTATGTTTTATGTTTTAGGCTATTTCCAGAAGATCTAGCTTGTATGAACTTATAAGGGACTATGGTCAAGCAGAAAATGATCTCCGTAGGTTGATTGCTCTTCTTGAGAAACAACTGCAAGAAAATATGACCATGCCACTAGAGAAGACTCTGAGTATTCGTAACAATCTGAATCGAGCCAATCTTCGGTTTTCTTCTCTGGATCGGGATGCCAGAAAAGGGGCTTCATTAAATATGTATTTGATATTGTAAGTATTTGTCCTTTGTAATTTGTCTATAACATACAGAATTATATTTTTAACTATTATTTTTTTCACGATTTAGTCTTGCATGTTAACTCTGAAACAACAACTTGATTTAGTATTCTTTCTTTAGATGGGTGCTTTTGATTTTTTTTTCCTTGATCACACAGGAGAGCTGTGTATCTTTGTATGAGAGAGAAAGAATGGACCCTTACAACACAACCCCCATAATCTCAGCTAAGAGGGGCTTGCAGAAAGTGAATAAAAAACGATCACCTGATACAAAAAGATCAACCACAACCTAAACTGGACTAATCAAGTTAATCCTAAACCATGACCTATGCTCAACTCCTGAAGCTTTTTAGCTCCAATCAGGCACCACAGATTCAACTCCTCCCTGAAAAACCGATGGGCCTCCATGAGAGAAGGGGATGCACCCTCAAAAATACATTTGTTTCTATAGAGGCACAAAGTCCAAGCCCCTAAAATTACAGCACCATTAAAGCCTTAACTGGAAGGTTTCTCGACCCTTGGACTCGCTTTTCTCCACCACTCGGCAAAGTTCTGATCACTGCTCCTTGGAGTAACACGACCAAGAGGAGCAAACAAATTGTGCCAGAACTGCCTTGCAAACAAACAATGTTGATTATGTGCAGAGCAGATTCTTCTTCCTGATCGCAAAAGATCGCACTTCTCGCTTTCCAAGAAATTAACCAAGTTCAGGTTTGACTAAGTTTATAAAAAGTAGTATCAACATTTATGTCTCCAGATAGGTTAACTATGAACATATATTCCATGATTAATCTGATGATACTTATTCGGTATCATAAATGTTAGTACTTTTTTGTATAGATTTAGTTAAACTTGAAATTGGTTGACTTTTTGGAAAACGAGGAGTGCACTCTTTTTGGGACAGCGGGAGTAGGTTGATAACACAAGATTGGCATTCATAGATTCATTATGAAAGAAGCTCAATAATATCTACCTCTTTCCATTTAAGATAACATCTTTTTTTGATAGACATAACTAGTCAGTCTCATAATGGAGACCGTGTCAATGTCCTAATGGACTTATATGTGATCGGAGGAAGTTAGTTTACAGAAATCCTGTTTGCAGTATTGTCAACCCCAACCCCAACATTGCCACCCAGAGTTGGATAATTGCCTGCCAAAATTGACACCCATTTGTGTACCCCTATGGAAGGGAGCTGTTTTTGATGCCTAATCTTACCTCCAAGGTTGGTTATTTTACTTGGTTAATTCAGCTGATGAGTGGTGTAAAGTAGTTTAGGGCATGCTAGAGCAGAGGAAATTCATGTGCTTTTGGTGGAAAGAAAGTTCACATGTTCATACAATTATTTGACCAATACACTTCCTTCTTTCAGAGGAATCGAGCCTTCTTCCTCTGCTGTGGATATAAAGAAGGCATACCGCAAAGCAGCACTAAGACATCATCCAGACAAAGTATTGTATTATTTTCTCTCTCTATTGTGACTCTCATTGTTCTCTTGTCTAACAGTAGTTATGCCACAGGCCAGTACATTTCTTGTCAGGAGTGAAAATATCAGCGATGCTGTATGGAGAGAGATAACAAATGAAATCCGCAGGGATGCTGATTATTTATTCAAAATAATTGGAAAGGCATATGCTATGCTTTCAGACCCTACAACGGTATGCATTACTGAGATATCTTTCATATTTTTTCTTTTCTCTTGTTACTGGTGTTGTATTTCTTTACTTTCTTTTTACCAGAACTTTCATGTCAAATGAGTGGGCATTATTTTGGATAAGATTTATCCTGCCTGATGTTGTTAATTACAATAGGCCAAGCATTGCGATTATAAGTCAAATGTAGCAAATTATATAAAAAAAAACAATGAAAGGAACAGTAACTAATAAGAACATGCTTCCCCCCTAGCCTGCCTGCAGCTGGTTTCTATCCAATGTGGTACTGATTTATGCCATGTGATCTGGTTTTGTGCCATATCACTCAAATCGGACCCACCTGTAAGCTCTGCACCATCTAACTTATCTCCTCTGTCTGTCTCAATTATTTTGATCTGCACCCCAAGCAAACTGTTGCATTCGGCCGCTAAGCTGTAGAGCTGCTGGCTCAATGAACCATAGGCTCGGCGGTGCAAGAGAGGGCAGCGGCAACTGCAGGCAACAAGAGGATAGCTTCAGCATCCTTGGTAATGCAGGCAGCAGGCAGCAACGGACACCCATCCTCCACCACCTGAGGCACCAGTGAGTGGTGGCATCAGTATCACCTTGCGGATCAACCACTCTTTCTGTGTCAACTGGCAGTGGTGCAGTACACAATGTCGCAGAGCAGAGTGCGGTGCACGTCTCTCTGCAGGTTTTGTGTGGCCATGGACGATTGAGACATGTCCATGGACCCAGATGCTGCTCACTTTGCATGACCTGCCTTTGCACTCTCGCAGTTGCCTATGGTGGCTGCCTCATCGCCTCATCGGCTAATTGACAGCGCTGCCGGATCAGATCTGGCCTTCATCTGTGACGACACCACTGTAGTTTGTAGAAGGTGACGGCATGGATGGCTTCATGTGAGCTCAGGGGCGGCGCTAGGAAGCAGTATGCAGCAATGGGGCGTACTGCTATGGCTCGTACTCATGGCTTCGCTCCATTTGTTCGCTTTCCTTCTCAATGACCTTTGCCGATGCTAGCAAAAACTGAAGAGGGCAAAGAAGGGAAGGGAGCACAGAAAGCAAATACGGGAACCAAAGAATGGAAGAACAGAGTATGGACACTGGTTTCGGCAGAGCTGTGGGCAGCAGGAAGCCTGGTGTGGTGTAGGCATGGCCAGACAGCAGTTTAAAAAGGATATGGAAGGGGTGGAATGGGGAGGAAGAGAACAAGAGAGAAGAATGGTGCGAACATGTGGGCCCATGATGTAGAAGGCAGGATGTGGATCATGACGTGGATGCTAACATGCCAAAACCAGTGCCACGTAGGACAGAAATCAGCTTCAAACAGGCTTGGGGTGTAGGTGAGACTGAGAGGGGGCGGGGTAATTTGTCTGCTATTAAGAGTCGAGGGGTTTGTGAATTTCTATCTAATACTGCATTGGTGGGTACTGCATGACACTGAACAGCAACACACCTTAACAAAATATTATGCATGTTACTTTTTTATTTCATAGTTCAATATTTCAATAATAACATTGCCATTTGTGAGCATCAACATTTCTGCTATGGCTGTTGGTTTTCTGTGTACATTTGCCCATCAAGGTTTGCTTTTACTTGTTTTCATTTTGAAACCAGAACATCATCAGCTGTATCCTATCTGTGTCATTTGCAATGTGCTGCAGAGAAGGGAATGATAAACCTGGGAAGTGGAGTGATAGAAAAGCAGTGCACATGTAACATGAGCAGCGGGAGCAATGAAAATGATGACAGGACCTCTTAGTGAGAGCATTTAATCATGAAGTGGTACAGCACAAAGATACCAATCTACCATACTGGAGAGGTCCTATGTGAAATTTTGTGTTCTCACCAAGGTACCTAATCACAAATGTCAGTCGGAACATGTCTCAGAAATTCTACTTTACTGACTGTGAATGCTAATACCATTACCCCGGGGAGCAGTGGATCTTTGTGTTCATGCCTGATCACTGTTTGGTGTTCTCTGATGTTCCATTTTGATATGCAGACTGCAGATTACATGAACATCAGCACCCGTGCAAAAGGCTAGGTGTTGTTTGTAAAGCTGATGTCAATATATCTGATGTTGTGCTTAGTATCTTGGAGCAGTCCGAGTGGAATCAACAAGAGTGAATAGTGTGTAAATAGAGGTATACGTTTCTTGTACACCCCCTCACCCCACATTTGCAGAGCGTGGTAGAAAGAAGCATGTTTTGTCTTTTTGAAATATATATATCCCCTCATGAGTGGTGGAAGCAAATGTTTTGTGGTTTGTTTGTTTGTACATTATAGTTTGTATAGGAAGCAACAGGATTTGTGTTTTCCCTCCCTTTTCTTTTTCCTGTGGTCTTCATTAAAAATTATGTATGTTTGGCATTTGTGTAATTCTGAAGCAAAGAGAAGGTTGATTGATTCGTTTGTTGTAAGTAATAACAAATAAAATTGCATGAATGAACGGTGTATTTTGCTGCTTTGGCTGTGCATCTCTTTTGAGTTTTCACTGTGTTTCACAACGTGTCCGTGTCAGGCAGGGCGCGTGTCCGCTCCACAAAATCACCTTCGTGGCTCATCTGAAACAGCTACAGTTGCTTCATGGGTCAGGCTGTCAAGGTCCACGACAAACAATAAACTGCCGACGGTATATTTCATAATCAACAAGTAATACTAATCTTGCTATATTAATCAGCATAAACTTTTCTTATCACCAGCAGCAGACGAACGAGCACTTGACTTATCAGCAATTAAAACACTTTATCAACTTGAGTAAAAATCAGAACTATAAATTTTGTTGGGTCTTCAAAGCAAGTCATGGAATTTGATATTTAATTTAACAATGTATGGATAGTATGAAAATTGAAGTTATGAAATATTTATGAGTATCAAAGTTGTATTTTAGTTTGATACAGGTTTAGTACATTATCATATTATTGCTAACATTAATTTATACTATGGATGCCATGATCATCATAAAATAAATTATAGGTTTAAAATTTTATAGAAATATAAAATATAAATAATTAGGTAGCATTCATGTTCTTATTTTCAATGAATACTCGGTATATTATTTTTGCTAATAAATATTAATAGTCCAAGGTAAAAAAAGTGAGATGACAACTTAGGCGAACTTGTTCCTTCGTGTATTTGAGCAAGCAATGCAAATATTTATTTTCGAATTAGCGTGTTATTTTCAAATATTAATAGTCAAAAAGGTAAAATAATTTTTACATGACAAACTTATGTGAACTAGTGTGTGCGTGTGAGCGTATGTTTGTACTATGTTAAAAAGTGAACTTATATTTGTGACTAAAGAGTCATTGGTTGTTTTTTGTCAAAGAAAGATATCAAACAAGCTGTTTGTGCATGCAAAAAAAGAGAGCTGTTTGTCAAGTAGCCCCCCACCGCCCCCCCCCCCCTTTTTTTTACAACCAAGTAGCCCCCTTTGGATTGTAGGAAAAAGAAAGAAAGAAAGAAAATGTGCATCCAGCTAGTAGAAAGTTATTGGTTGGTTCGCTCTCCTAACTAAATGCAGCTAACTAGAGGATCCAAATAGTCCAGTTAATAGCCTAGCTAATAAAAATCTATTAGAGCACTTCTAAGAGTCTCTCTTAAATTCACTCTTTAAATCATCATTAGAGAGTCATTTGAATAAAAATCGTCTTGTATATATCTTTCCACCGTCCAAGAGTCAACCCCGCTCTTCATATTTGACTAGCGAGAAATCTGGAAATAGATAATGTCTAAATTTAGAGATCTAATTAAAGAGGTTGTTGGAGACTTTTTTTTTACCAAAATCTCCTATGAATTAGAAAGGATATAATTAAAGAGGCTCTTGGAGTTAGTCTTGGTTAGCTTTTCTCAGCTACAACTATCTAGCAGGTGTTAGCCAAAGGATCTAAATAGGGTCTAGTTAGTAGCCTAGCTAATAAAAAAGCTATTAGCTGGCACAATTAAAACACCCCATTAGTCATAATAAAATGATGATTTGTGCTTAAGGATACATCATTGGCTGGGAGTGCTGCATCCAGCAGCACCTGCCTCAGTTCGCCTTTGCTCTAGAACGCGCAATTATATTTGAAAAAAAAACAATAAAAGCGAATTTTCTCAAGGATACCGTATTTTATTTCATTATTCTTTTAACTGGAGGCAAACATTATGGGTAATGCTATTTATCACTTTTCTAGAAAAATTGGATCCGTGACAGAAAATATATGTTATTACAACAATATTGAACAAATTAGACATATCATGTGTCACTAAAAATATACTCCCTCCATCCCAAATTGTAAGTCATTCCAAGAATCTTGGAGAGTCAAAGTTTTTCAAGTTTGACTAAATTTATATAACAAAATAATAATATTTATCATACCAAGTAAGTATCATTAGATTTTTCATTAGTTATATTTTCATATTATACCTATTTGATGTCATCAATCTTTATGTTTCTCTCTATAATTTTAGTCAAACTTGAAAAAGTTTGACTCTCCAAGATTCTTGGAATGACTTACAATTTGGGATGGAGGGAGTATATATGTTCTCCTGGGGCCACAAACCCACTGTGATATATTACTACAGGTTCCGGAGCAACTAGTGGTGATAGCGCTAATAGTGACTTGTGTTTTTGGAGTAGAGTACTAGAACAGAACACTGTCTTATATAGTTCAATTATAAAGGCAGTACTATGGTTCTTGTTGATTTCCACAGACCAACATCTAGTATCTTAAAACTAGCCTTTGTGTATCCATACAGAAAGACTAACGCGTGTGGTTTAATTTTGGTCTAGCTTCGAACTAATTGATAGTCTACTAGTTGGTCAAACCCAACTAATTTTGATCAATAGGACACTTTAATATATTTTGAGCTATGTATGGAACTTTTAGTTGGGGAGCCAAACAACTTGTAGCTTAATTTCTAGCTAGTTAAACTTTATCTGACTAATTTTTAGGCCTTGCTTGCTTCCACCCAACAAACAGTTAGCTGCTAAAATATACTACCTCCGTCCTCGAAAGAATGCAATTCTAGCACAATATTACGTTTTAGTATTTTAAGTTTGACCAATTATAGATAAAAAAGTATCCATGTTATGATATCAAATAAATACCATCAGATTAATTATGAAATGTATTTTCATAATAAATTAATTTAAAGACATAATTGTGAATATTATTCAACTAAAACTTAGTCAAACGTGAATCACTTTTCATGACACGCAACCTATAGTTGCATTTTTTTTGGACGGAAGTAGTAGCTGGGATGAATCCAAATGAACCGAGCTAATTGTTAGTTGGATACCTAGCTAACAACTATCTCACAAGCTATATTAACCTAGCTAATATGGAGTTAATAAATTGCAAAATAAAAAATGTTTTGACCATCCCACGTACCTCTCAGTATGTGCCCTCCTAATAGTAGATAGAAAAAAAAAGAAACCTGTAGACAAAACTATCAACACATCTAGTATATTTTAGTTACGGGATCCAAATAGCTTCGTTAGCCGACTAATATTTAGGTAGCTAAATACTCCAGCCACTCTAAATTATAAATATTTTGACTTTTCTAAATATATTATTTTAATAGGTATGTAGTTATTATGCATATATAAGTGTATAGTAAAAGATATGTATCTAGAAAAGTAAAAAAATCTTATAATTTGGAATGGATGCAATATTAGCTAAACATGGTTTTAGTTGGAGCTGACAGATAGTTGTAGATCATCCTGTACAAAACTACCAGTTTTGTCACCATACTATTTACTAGTACCATTTTTGCCATGTTTACTAGCAGCACATGCAGATGCGGTCATTCGATACTGTAGCGGCATGACAGATGGACAAGTATACCAGAAAATCCAACACAAAGCACCGCCTAATCCCAGGACCAGCCACCACACAATCCAAGACATTTTTGGGGAATGCCATGCGGGGCCCACTGCCGCGGTGCGGAGAGGACCCATCCACAGTTCCACGCCAGCCCACCTGCCCCACCGCGGCTCCACCAAGGCACCAACCTCCGCGTCCTCCCCACCTCCCTATAAATCCAATTGAAAATGGCCAGGGGCCTTGGCTTGCCTCCTACTCCTACTCCTCTCTCTTCACGTGCACACAACGCCTCCCTTGGCGAGGCGCGCCTGCTGGAGCTCGGGGCGGCGGCGTTGGCAATGGCAGCGGCGGTGGCGGTGGCTGAGCAGGAGGATGTGATCATCGTTGGCGCGGGGCAGTCGGGGCTGGCGGTGGCGGCGTGCCTGTCCCTGCGCGGCGTGCGCGCCCTGGTCCTGGAGCGCGACGACTGCGTGGGCTCTCTGTGGCGGAAGCGCGCCTACGACCGGCTCCACCTCCACCTGGGCAAGAAGTACAGCGCGCTCCCCCACGCGCCGCACCTGGACTCTGCGCCGACGTACCTCCACCGCGACGAGTACGCGGCGTACCTGGACGGGTACGCGGCGCGGTTCGCCGTCCGCACGCGCCTCTGCCGCGAGGTCCGGTGCGCGCGGTACGACCCCGCGAGCGCGCGGTGGGAGATGGAGGCCGTGGACCTCGGCGGCACGGGCGGCCAGACCGAGCGGTACAAGGCGAGGTTCCTGGTGGTGGCGTCGGGGGAGAACGCCGAGAAGTTCGTGCCGGAGGTGCCCGGGCTCGAGGCGTTCCCCGGCGAGGTGATGCACGCCGCCGAGTACCGGTCGGCGGAGGGCATGCGCGGGAAGGCCGTGCTCGTCGTCGGGTCGGGCAACTCCGGCATGGAGATCGCCTACGACCTCGCGGCCGCCGGCGCCGTCACCTCCATCGTCGTCCGCAGCGAGGTCAGTAATAATTAACCTTACAGTATACTGCTCACTGTGCTGCATGCCCTGCTCTCTTGTTGCATGCCTGGCTCGACAGACAGTCGTCGGTTAGTAGATGCCAGGATTGCCAGCGCAACAAGTGTGACCTGGTGCGACCGTGGCGTCATGCATGGCACTAGCACTGGTGGTGGGTGCCTAGCTGATGCTGCATGCACCCCGAATCCTAAGTTGCTGCTTGCATTTCATCCTATATTCCTAATATTCCAATCGTATAAGTAATATTATGTAATCGTATCTTTGCGTGTCAATCGATGTCGTCTTGTGTCCCTACTCCCGTGTAGTGTAGTGCGTAGCCGTTGGATCCCCCGATGGATGGTCCTGATCGATCGAGTCTTAATTACTATACTTACCAGTACTACTAGTAGAATTAGATTATCAACAAGGACTATTTGGTGCACTTACTACTAGAATAGAATCAGACGCGATCATGTAATACTATTTTTTTATTATTGTGGGCGGATGTTGAATGCATGTGCACGGCCCATGCAGCTTCACCTGGTGACCAAGGAGATCTGGAACGTGGCAATGACGCTGTACCCGTACCTGCCGGCGTGGGTCATCGACAAGCTGGTGCTGCTCATGTGCGCCGTCGTGTTCGGCGACACGTCCAGGCACGGCCTCCGCCGCCCCGCCGTGGGGCCCTTCACCATGAAGCTCACCACCCCGGCCTACCCCGTCGTGGACGTCGGCACCTACGCCAAGATCAGGACCGGCGAGATCCGCGTGCTCCCCGCAGGCGTCAAGAGCGTCCGCGGCAACGTCGTCGAGTTCGGGGACGGGAAGCGACACCCCTTCGACGCCATCGTCTTCGCCACCGGCTACCGGAGCACCGTCAGGCAGTGGCTCAAGGTACACGCGTTCGTTCGCCCACTTTAACTACTACTACTACTACTACTACTACTACTACTACTACATGCATGTGTGTGTTGTACTACTGCATGCATCATGATGATCTATCTATCTAGCTGCACTGCCAAAAGATAGCATGCATGCATTGCACATTATTTGCACCCATGATGTCAGCTGTGTTCCGTGGGTGCATGGACATGTGGCCTGGTGCGTGAGACTTCGCCGCGAAGCAAAGCTCAGTCCGCCGGCCGGCCGGGTCTCATCTTTGCAATTGCACGCATGCTCCATCTCCCTAGCCCCTAGCTAGCAACTCGCAACAATAGTCTAATACAAGCATGCATGTGTATTTCTCTTTTGTTTAGAGCGAGGACGGGCTGATTGGAGACGACGGGATGGCGGCACGGAGCTATGCGGAGCACTGGAAGGGGGACAACGGGCTGTACTGCGCCGGGATGGTGCGGAGGGGCATCTACGGCAGCTGCGAGGACGCGGAGCTCATCGCCGGCGACATCAGCAAGCTGCTGCGCCCCAGCAGGAGCAGGAGCAGGAGCAGGGCAACGGCTTCTAGCTCCAGCATTTCTCGTCCGTATGTGGATCCAATCCAACGCGCGTGCGAGCAACGGCTGCGATGTGCGATCATCTCGGCTCGCCGACAACAACTATCATATATATATTTATATACTAATTAAATATATAAATATGTATATGATGCTTTGTGGAATGTGATTGCTGAAAGAGATGGGCAGGAGAGAGACACCATGCAAGCAAGACGCTTTTGTTGGTTGCAAATGGAAACAAGCTCTATTATTTGATTGGTTAATAATGGTTGCGTGAATAAACTAAACGTGCTTGAGATGGCTATTGGAGTGCGAGCGCCTTCCTGGGTCTCCCGCTTCAGGCTCGGGCCCAACTCCCTCACCTCCCGGCGACCCGGTGCTACATACGTCAAGCCCACCGGTCTCGCTCTCAGTGGAGATTGACGATCCTGTGTGGGCTGCCCATGCGCCTGCCGACATGGGCCCGCCTTCTAACATGGAATCCCCAGCTCAGAACCTCTTGGGCCAATGCTCAGTCGCGGGCACATCCTCGGCCGCTGGCCCATTCGCGGCGCAGTCAGCCAACGCTGTGGCCGTTGCCGGACATGCTACAGGAGCCGCTTCGGTCGGCTTCATCGACTCCCTCAGGCTGCCGCTGCAGGAAACTCTGATCCGTACTGCACCGCGTCCATGCGTTGCGCGTAATGTCATCGACCTCATACCTCGTCGCAGTGACAAGCTCGCAGCCAAGTCATCCTTTCGCGACCTGCAGCCGGAGAAACAAGCGAGGCGTGTGATGTTGATCAGGTGGCAAAAGAGGCCTGATGACGCCGGTTGCACTCCGGATACCGCGATTGCAACCAAATTCCACAAGACCTTCGCCGAGCCGTTGTCGTCTTCCAAGAAAGCAGCGATCTCTAGACTCTTTTCCACACTAATTACCAATTCTTTTCTTGGTCATTGAGATTCGTGGGTAGTTTAGACTATTATTTAGAGATAGATCGTACCTCTTTTTTTATCCCCTCGAACAAATCGAAATGATTGAAGTTTTTCTATTTGGAATCGTCTTAGGCCTAATTCCTATTACTTTAGCGGGATTATTCGTGACTGCGTATTTGCAATACAGGCGTGGGATGCGCGAGCTCTTCCCCGCTCGCGGCGCTCGCTGGGCAGCGCCGGCGGCGGAGTCAGATTGAGCCACTGTTGCTCATCGTCCCCAAAAGGGTTTTTCCCAATGAGTGCAAACCACATCCTCATCTGGAACGCACGAGGCTTGAACAGCCGTGCGCGTCGTAGCGTTGTTAGGGATATCGTCGCTCCGCAGCACAGCTCCATTGTATGCCTGCAAGAGTCCAAGGTTGCCACATTCTCTGTATCCATGAACATTGATGTAACAGGAATTGACTTCGATTATATCAGTCTTCCTGCGATTGGCATCGCTTGGGGGCGCCGGGACCTGTGGAATGCCTTGCTCCCGTGCGTGCGCCGGTTCTTGATCACCGTCAAACTAGCGCCGTTGGATGGCCTGGGCGAGCCCTAGTGGCTGACGCCTGGATTGCTACGGGCTTCCGCTGCCTTGCGTCGCTGACTGCTCTTGCTACTTAGTGGTCGCGGCTTCCCCTTCTCTTGTCGTGCAATTAGTTTCCTCAGTTAGTACACCTCTTAGCACCACCGTTGAAGCCGGTGATTTGTGTAAGTGTTCCTCCGGTCCACTAACTATGGCACCTCGCCTTGGATAGCACTGTTGTACTTTGTTCCCACTACTCTTAATGAAACACGTGCCATTGCACGCTTTCGAAAAAACAATCCACATGTCAGGGGTATGTATCAAACAATCCACGTCTCCTGTTTCTCAGGATTAGAGTTTTAACTATCTACTCCCTCCATCGCTAAAAAAGAGTCGCTATGGAAATCGTGCTGGTCAAACTTTTTTTTAATCTTTGACTAGGTTTTTTAGAAAATACATACAACATTTATATTTTCAAATAAGTTTATTATGAAAGTATATTCAACGATCTACCTAATGGTACTAATTGTGTACCATAAATATTAATGTTTTATTAAACATATTTGGTTAAAATTAAAAATTATTGATTTTTTGGAAATCGAGAATGACTCTTTTTTAGGGACCGGTGAGTATTATGGAAATTGTACACTGTCCCGCACCTTACTTTTGCGTTACTATTACGGGTTTGGAAGTGGGAAAGCCAACCTGGCTTTCAAAGATCACTTTTGCCGCATCCGTTCATAATTAAAGGATCGGAGAAGTCCAAATAGTGGCCGCGTAACAGTCAATTCTTTCATTTTCTGAAAGTTCGAGAAAAGGTCATGTGCAATGCAAAACCAGTAGGAAAATAAGACATACCAACTGAAAAATTGGAAAACCCATTTTCATATCAGAATACCAACAGAAAAATTGGGGCCAGGCAAATCATTCGGGTGATCAAAGGCCAGGTATCACCCGAGTTCTATGTAGACCTAAATAAAACGTCCTTCAGTTTCTAATATAAAATACGGAAATGCGAGGACGTCCGACGCCGCAGCCAGAATCGCACGGATCCATTCAAAATAAAACAACAAAAATGCTTACGTCCAGCTCAACGGCCCAACATCGTATTCTCTTGTCCACTCGTTCTCTCTAGAAGCCTCTCACCCACTAGTCCTCTCCAGAAGGCTCTCCACCACAGCGCCACGACAACGCTCTGCCATGCCACCTTGGCGTTTTTCACGCCGTCCGGGCTCCGACCGCCGGCAGGCATCTCCACCGCAGCGCCATGACAGCACTCCGCCACGCCACCTCGGCGTTCTTCACGCCGTCCGGGCTCCGACCGCCGATAGGCATCTCCACCGCGCCCCAGCGCGGCTGCCCGTCTTCCTCCCTCTCCATGGCGCCTCCTGCCCACCGCGGTCCGTCTCTCCACCAGAGCGACCTGCCACGGCCTTCTCTATCGGAACGACAAGCTCCACGCCACCGGCGAGCTCTACATCGGTGAACTTCACACACCGACAAGCTTCCATTCCCAGTCAGCAAGGAGACCTCCATTCCCAAGCAACAAGGAGATGTTGCACTCACTGTTCGCCTAAATGATCGTTTAGCTCATTTACAAACCGTTTAAACGCTACACAGTGGTGCAATATTTCCGTTTAATCGGTTGTTTTGACCGTTCAAACGGCCGTTTTGCCCGTTTAAATACCCGTTTTGCCCGAATAATGGGCTAAACGGCAGGTGACCGACTTTTACCTTTAGCATTTAGGATAACACTGGTTGCATTGAAAGCGTATGTTGCAAACATATGTTTCAGGTGTTTTAGATGTGTGTTGCAAGTGTTTCATATCGGTGTTGCAAAAGTAGATTGGGATATTAAACATGTTGCAATGGCTATACACATATGTTTCAAGTATATGTTCCAAATGTTTTATCTGTATCGCACGTATGTTGCAAGTATTTTCATCTGGACGTTGCAAAACTAGATCTGGATGTTGCATATACATATATATTGCAAGCATATTTTCCAAGTGGTTTTAAAGTGTTTTTAAGTGTTTTAGACACATGTTTCAAGTGTTTCATATATCTTCTTTGTATGTTGTAACCGTTGCATGGGGATGCGCGTGGGGATGTTTCAAAAGTATATCAGGGGTTGCATGGGGATGCGCGTGGGAAGCGACCGACAACACGGGTGACGTTCGAGGCGGCGCGGGCCCACTGCTGGGGCACTCGCCTGCAAGCTCGACGCGCTGGGATGCTTGCTCGTTCGCTGAGCGGGTACCGTCCAATGTTAGCACTCCGGATTGGACGTCTAGGCACTAGCAAGTCCGTATTAAATAATACGCCTGCGGCTTGTTGGAAACGTGGCATTCAATTTCTCATGGTTTAGCCCATGGGCTTGTTACTAAGAGCTTTTTGGCCCAACGGGTTAAACACGCTGGGCCAAGGCTCGCCCTCCGAATAACCAACGAATGTTGCCCGCCGCAGCACCGGCGACCTTCCAGGCTTCCACTTTTGTAGTTCCATTCCATGTCTGATGGCCCTCTCTCTCTCTAAAAAAACCTCCTCTGATCCTTTCAATGCCGGATTTCCCTCTCTATCTATGATGAACTGCAATCATCACGGATGAGTAACTACAGGTCCCACAGGTACACGTCCGGATGGAGAAAGGACCGTGTGGAGTTTTGTGACAAAGTGCCATTCGTTACAGTTCGAAAACTGTTCGTTACAGTTCAAAAACTGTTCGTCACAGATGTGTAGTTAGTTCAATTATAAAGCCCTGGTTGTCACAGTTCTAAAAAAGATCATCACAGATAAGCAGGAACAGTCACGCGAGTGATCTATGACGAAACCCGATGCTATTCTATGATGTTTTTGTGACAATATCCGATTTCATCATAGATAGGGAGGGTTGGAGGATTGTCACCAGTGGTCTATGACGAAACGTAAATATTCATCATAGAAAGTGATTTTCTACGACAATTTTGGATTCGTCATTACGATTTTCGTCATATAAGTAGATATTTCTAGTAGTGACATGTATGTTGCAATCTTATTTTTCAAGTGGTTTTCTGGTGTTTTGTAAGTGTTTCATCTAAATGTTGCATATGTTTGCAATGGTTTCCAAGTGTTTTTACAAGTGTTTCAGACGCATGTTTTAAGTATTTATCTGTCTTGTTTGTATGTTGCAACTCTTGCATATAGATGTTTCAAAAGTAGATTGGGGGTTGTACATGGGATGCGCGTGGGAAGTGGCTGGGGGCGTGGGCGATGTCTAGGGTGGCGCGGGCCTGCTACTAGGACACTCACCCACAAGCCTGACGTGCTGGGGTGCTTGCTCGCTCGCCGAGCAGGTACCATCCGGCGCTAGCCACTATAAAACATACCCTTATATATAGGGGTGAAAACGGTACGGATATTTTCCGACCGTATTCGAGACCGAATCCGTTTAGAGGAGTTCAAATCTGTCCGTATCCGAGTCTGGATATTCAACATCCGATACCGTATCCGTATCCGAATAATCAAATCGTATATTTATGATGTCGATATCCAATCGTATCCTATCCGTTATGATTGACAATATCTATTGGTCACTAAAACAAATGTAATATCGCATCCGTTAGTTAACTCATACTTATACATGACGGTTTACTTTGGTCACTAATAAGTGAAAATGCATCATAGTTAACTCACCATAACCATCGAAAAAATGTCATGTATCCCACGTCATACATTTGTTGGCCCAAATTGAGCCGTCACATATTGAAATTTGTGTTTGTCATAGAATAGTTGGCTGCATCTTATAACCAGCCCATATCCAAGCCCAGATCCAAACCATAGTGACGAAAAAGAACATCACAAACTAGTGCCAAATCATCACTGCATTAACATGCATCACAGCTCATAAGATACACCAATCATATAAACAAATATTGATCATTCATGTATTAGCGAGCCCACTGGTGTCACATTTTATCAAACTACAAATTGGCCTAGCCCACAACCATTTAGTTTGACTATCACAACAACTAAGTTTGAACTTAAAGATTTCATCTCTAGGGAGTCTAAAATAACTAAACATTTATATCCACGAGCACTTCAATTAGCTTCCAATCCATAAAATGTGCTACCTAAAATCAAAATGAATATAAGATAAGTTAGTTTTCAGCAAAAATTCTAAAAAGAAATGTCATCTATTTATTATGAAGCTTTGACACTAGTTAACTAGTTCAATGCATAAATTTTTGAGAGCCCAACAAGTAGAGCATGAGAATCTAAATATCAATTAACAACCAAGCTCGTAACAACTAAGTAGCAGTTAGCATTTGGTGTCAAATGAAGCTAAGTCCATATTCATCATAGCAAGAGTAGATTAGATGGTACTATGAAGCAATAATTCAGTTTCATACCAACTCTCAAATTCTCATTAAACTTCACATAGTGAAGCACAAGCAGTAATAATTCAGCAATGCTCACAT